TCATATGTAGACTACATATATATTCTTACTTTTTTATTTACCATGCTGTTAATATTGTACTTAAGGTATTTGATAGGAAACGAACAGCGACACATCAAGGTTCTGAAAGTGCTGTAATTGTTTGTTGGATCACTTTGCTTGTAGAATGTTATGACAGACCCAAATCATCACTGCTGCAAAGTTGCATTTTTCCAGTTGCCAAATATGTTAATGTACAGCCACGTTCACACAGCAGCAGAATACGGTTGTCAGTCCTGCATTTGAGTCCTTAACATGGTTACGTTCACACAATACAGTTAGTTACGGGGGTGACAACCGCATATAACCAGTCACTGTTCTCCACTGGAGTGGTTTCCGTCAGTTTTGTGTTCTGTGCGTGACTCAAATGCAGTGTCATGTGCGAGATGCAGAAAAGGATGCGAGTGCATATATGGGCTTGTATTCGAGACGCTACTGTAAGCTTCTGATTGAACAGGACATTTTGAGACTCACACCTGTAAAGAAATGCGGTCGTCAATTCCTAAAACTGACAATATGAACGTGGCCGTAGTTAATATAGTGATTACTTTAATTTCTGGCGCTACGTCATTTTTAAATTGTGTCGGAGATGTTAGCGTGTCTCTAATATCGGCCACAAACATGATCACTGCATGATCTAATGTGTGTAGTGTCTTATTAACTCACTGTCACTGTGTGCAATGCATTTCTTCTCCCTCTTCATGTTTCATTGATTTTCTTCACTGCTAAAGAAACTTAAGCCTCTTAAAAGTCCTCGTCAGTACTCCTAACAATTTTGGACCTTAAGAGCTCTTTAATATGCTTTCTGAATTACCTTCTTCTATACTAGGATCTTTTCTTTAATTTTAAGAGGAAACACCCACATTTCTAAGAACTTTCTTAGAATTTTGTCACTAGGAGCAACTCTTTGCTCTAAGAATTTTCATGAATACGGGCCCATGCTTCATACTCCACCTCCCTCTCCTCCCCTGGGTTTCTCTCAGGAGGTGAAGACACCTCCTGCGCCACAGTTTTAGTCATGGTTTTGGTCTTTCTGGTTTCACCACCAAAACAACTAAACACGTATTCGGTTCCGTGGGAAATGAACAGATACTGCATTTATAATCAAATTAAATTCCAATACACCATTTCTAATGTAAACACTCAATACGTTTTTCCATATGTAAATATATTTATATCTCTTTCTAATTAATCTGATTGGTCTGTTGTTTGAAACTGACATTGATCTGCTGTACTATGTGTGAAGTTGAGCTATTTTTAACTTGACACTGTATCTTTAAAACATCCCACTCGAAAATTAGACATTGAGAAAACAGTGATACGATCTATGATGACCAAATACACAGACAGACTGAATGACCTTTTATCAGTTTGAGTACAAACACCCGCACAAACACACACACACACACACACACCTGCAGAAAAGTAAGCAGAGACTCACACAGTTGAGTGTATGAGGGGAAAAGTGCAGTGATGTTTTCAGTGGTGTGTGTGTGTGTGTTTTAATGTCTCTGGAATTCTGGAATTTCCCTTATTCTGGGAACCCAAAACCAACTCTGAAAGACTGACATAAAGACAGCTAAATATATCTCTGCACACCTCTGCACACTATCCTGCCACCTACTGGACATTGACTACAATACAAGAGTCAATTTAAATGTACTGTAAGTACAGTAAATGTAAAAAAGTGTAATTGATTATGTGACTCTTTGATGTCAGATTTGTGCTGCTGTCATTAAAACAAAAGAGACACAAAACAAATATGCAGATATTATATTTAATTTACATTTATGTATTTGGCAGGCACTGTTATCCATAGCGACTTACACTGCAATTTTTATTTTGACTCTCAAATTTGTTAATTTTTTCAGTACAAGTTCTCACTCAAACTGTTATGCCAAGAATATCTCCTTTGTAATGAAAATATGAAGTGCATAAAGATTAAAATAAATAAATAAATAATACAAAATATAACCAATGGACCTCCTGAATATACATGCATATTAGTTTTTAGTACTATATATCAGCTATACAGAAGACTAAACTGAGGTTTAGATGTATTTGTCAAAAATGTTACAATGAAAAAAATAAGCATTTTCTTAAAAAAACAAATCTTATTAAAGGGTGGAAAATGTATAATAAGAGATCTTGTTTTCTCAAACTGTATGCTAAGGATATACTTTGTAATTAAATATTTTTATTAAAAATACCTATACAGAAGACTAAATTGAGGTTTAGATGTATTTGTCAAAAATGTTACAATGAAAAAAATAAGCATTTTCTTAAAAAAAACAAATCTTATTAAAGGGTGGAAAATGTATAATAAGAGATCTTGTTTTCTCAAACTGTATGCTAAGGATATACTTTGTAATTAAATATTTTTATTAAAAATACCTATGCATAGTAAATATATTCATTATACAGAATGAGAATTGGGGGTTTAAATGTGGCATTGTATTATTATGACAAATAAACAATGCAGAAAAATTAAAAATAAGCTTCAGGCAATTTTTTTGTTTTGTTGAATAGTGATCATCTTAGTGCTTCTAGAGAAATATCTGAATCCTTGCACATTGAACTAATGTGGTAATATTTTAAAATATCTGCAGAAACGTGTGATTTTTCCTCTTGTCTCCTGCAGGTCTTCATTCTGGTTTCGTCACGCTGCCACGTTCATCTCGTCTGGACCAAAGCTTTGCAGAAACGTCTGAATTGCTCAGTTCAGATAGTCGACGGAGCTCCTTACCTGAGAACAGCGAGGTCTCAATGACGCGATCTGATTCGCTCTCGTCCTTCACGGTGGACCTCGGCCCCTCCCTCATGAGTGAGGTGTTGGAGTTGATTGACAGCTCCTGCTGCCTCATTAAGAGCTGTCAAGATGAAGATATTGAGGAAGACGAGCAGCAGAGCTCTGCGTTTGAGATGGATCATAAATGTCAGACAACTCCGATCGGAGCAGACGTCACCATCGAGCCCAGGAGGCTCCAGCAGGCTACTAGCGTGCTAGCACGTCACTTTGGAGGAGGAAGACCTGAAGAAGAGCGTCAGAGACCTTCATCTTTCAGACACACAAGGACGGCGTACAGCTTCACTGAGACAAAGGATGAAATCAAAGTATGAACATCACAAATTAAACATAAGGACAGTTATGATATTAAAAACTAGTTTGATTTCAAAGACAATCTTTATTTATAAGTCCAAATAAAATAAGCTTTGGAAATAGGAATCCAGGGATTATTATTATTTTTGGTCATTTTAAAGGACTTGAAAGACACCTGCTATACAGTCGCGAATGGAGAGCCAACTTTCTCTATAAATAAACATCATTCAGATGAACAAACATTCAGCTGTAAATTTCTTTTTTAATCTTGGAATCAAGTATATATTCGATGAAACTGTTCTGTACATATTTTCACAAGTACATTTATATTTTATGTTGTTTAAATGTGCATATGCATTTACAAAACCAGAAGGCAATGACCAGGATCTTTAGCATCTACAGTTAATTAAATATAGATCTACAGCAGATCTGTCTGCTAAAGCCAGTGTGAACACAAAGACATTCATTTTATTTGTATTTTTTTCATTGTGACATTTAGATTTTATAAATAAATATCATTCATATCTTTTAAAAGAATAATTGGTCCAGTTTTATACTTAACGCTGACAGATATATGTATTTCTGAGCGAACAAGTAATTTTAATAACAAATGAATAATATTCATATATGCAGTGAATATATGTGGAATTAATTTTGGAGTTTCTTATATAGTAGAAAAGTGTATATAATTTACTGTTAATAAAAGTTATGTTTAGAAACGTGTACATGGCATTGTATTTTACTTAAAGGATAAAGACTAAAGAGCATGTTAAAAATATCTCTTGAAGATGTAAAAAAAAAAAACTTTTACAAATACAGCTAAGGAGTGCATTAGGAGAGAGAAAGAAATGTTAAAAACAATAAATAAAATAGAAATACTTTTATTGATAGTTTTAAGTGTCTCAAAGCCAATAGAAAGCGGAGCTGTGTTTTGCTCATAAATATTCAGCTATATGTAAATGAGGCAAAAGTCGTTGGGCATTTGAAATATTCTTGTGCACTGAGGGCTGTGGAGAAGAGATCCTGTGAAGAAACGACATTTATCTCTTTTTAACTGTTGCTAATTAATTTAACATGTTTTGAAAATGTATGTCCATCGTGATCTATCATATTGGAAAACAGGAAAACTGGTTTCTGAAATTTGTTTGTGTGAAGACATCAGATTTGGCGCTCTCGGTACGACCAACATTCAAATCAGTAAGCGTTTATTTTCTGTGAACTTTAATCTTCCTATTTTAGTTGAAAATGTGATTTTCGTTGTCAGAAACAGTATATAATGCTTTTTTTGTGTTAAATATGAAAGACCAGAATCATTGTCAGAAAGAGCTGAGATCAGGTTTGTAATGAAATAGCCTAAATATGGTGACTAAATGCAGTATACAACAGTAAATGTCGAAATAAAGGAGTAATTGAGAATAGCTCCGCCCTTAGTTGGTTGCATCATTAGAGGCGATGATCATCGATCTAATCAAGTGAAATGGCCTCTGGAGTAGAGATGCATGTCAATTTGCAGTCCTGAAGTTAAGAAAGTAAGTGAGAAAAACTAGGTTAATAAGTTAAATTCATAGTTTAAAAATAGGAACAATAATAACATAGCTAACGGGAAGTTAGTTGAATAGCTGCTAATCGCATTTGTACTGAATCCAAGGAGTAAATGAGAAGCTGAGATGATTCATCTACGAAAACCTTGTAAAATGTAATTTACTTGGTTCATTGGGATTATTTCTAATCTTTATTAGGGCTGGGCGATATAGCCAAAAAAAAAAAAAAATCAAATATTGATATTTTTTGGCTGAAATGCAATATCTCAGTATCATTTTATATTTGGTTCAAAATTAATGAACTAATTTACCATCCTGCCCAATGTTGTCCAATAAAACAATATTTATATTAAAGGCAATGAAAACGAATATAGTGAAAGTATAGGCTATGCTATCCATTATGTGCAAAAAAGGGCTAAAATCACATTACATTACAATCTAAAAACAAAAATAATGCTTTTTAAAGCAGAAGTTCAATTCACTAAACTAAAAATGAAAGTAAATAAACACAAGAGCACAGATTAATTGCATTATATTTTGGTTACTCCATTACTGCTATCTGCTATCATTAAATACACTTACTTGTAGGACCAACAAGATGGCGCCACGTATGGCTGCCACGGTGTGGAGCTCTCCCATTCTTTTGCTGTTTTTGTTTGTTTGTTCTGTGTTAGTCATTATTTTACTATCAGTTTTACCAGAGACAAACTACTGGACATAAGGCAACACACACTAAAAATGTTTTCAGTTTATGATTATTCAGACACTTTGTTGGATGTTCTAGTCGGATGGGCGGTCCTATTCCAAATACGCGCTCAGACGGAAACGAGGGAAGCGCTTCGGCGAGCTGGTTAAGCTCTGCGAACACGGCTTCCGAACAGCTCCCTAGTATCCATCTAACGCATCTCCGATCCCTTCTTAACAAAACGGATGAACTTCTCCTCACCCGCACAAACAAGGACTTTTCAAACTCTGCTGCACTGTGCTTCACTGAAGCCTGGCTCAGCAAATATATTCCGGATAACGCGCTTCATCTGCCGGGCTTCCAGCTGTTCAGAGCGGATCGCGGAGTTAAACGGGAAAACGAGAGGTGGTGGGCTATGTTTCTACATAAATGAACGTTGGTGTTCAGACGTAACAGCTCTGAAGAAGATGTGTTCTCCTAATTTAGAGGCACTCTTCATAAACTGTAGACTTTTCTACTTGCCGTGCCGTTTTCCTCGTTCATTCTTGTGAATATGTACGTCCCCGTTAGATGCGTGTGCGAGCGCTGCACTGCAACAGCTGGCTGAACTAATAACAGAAATGGAGCAATGGTACCTGGACTCTCTATTAAATCATTCTTTGGGATTTTAATAAAGCAAATCTTTCCTGTGAACTGCCAAAATACAGACAGCATGTTACATGTCCCACCAGAGACTGTAATATATTGGATCACTGTTACACCACAATAAAGGATGCATATCACTCTGTCCCAAGGGCAGCTTTGGGGCTCTCTGACCACTGTCTATTTCATCTCATACCGACCTACAGGCAGGAACTAAAATCAGCTAAACCTATACTAAGGACTGTTAAAAGATGGACTGATGAAGCAGAGCAGGATTTACAAGCCTGCTTCAATCTCACTGATTGGAGTGTTTTTGAAGCTGCAGCCACCGATCTGGAAGAGCTCACAGATACAGTAACTTCATATATCAGCTTTTTTTCAAAATAATAATAATAATAAAAAATTCACTATTTAAAGAGGATGCTTTTTTTTAAGTGAGAATTGTTTCAAAGTAAAAAAAAAATAAAATAAATCAGTGTATAAGCAAAATCTCCACATCAGCGAACCAGCTGTTTGAATTGAAATATAAAGGAACATTAAACACTATCAAGTCTCCCCTTTTCTCATTTTTCTCAAAAAAGCACATCAAATAATATTTCATTTTTACATGTTTGCTTATTGAGCCCCATGCAAAACACGCTGGGAACTATAGTTTCAACATATGACTGTTTTATCATTTGTCAGTTTCATACCTCTTGAAATGGACTAACAATGCTCTTGCAGACTTCTGTAGTAGCACGTAAAATGGCAAATCTTGTGATCTCTTGATGATTTTTGGAATGATCTTTTCTCAAGAAATATAAGCTCTGATCACCGATCAGAAAACCCAGCAGAACAAATAGGCTCCTCATTGTCAGATGATTATGAATATGAAGAAAAACTCACAATATCGTTGATTTTCTGGAAATACAGAACAGACGTTTAGTCAAACATTTTTAAGTAAATGAAATAAATTAGTATTAGTAGAAGGATTTATTAATAAAATAAAAAAAAAAAATAATAATAACTTTTTGAAATAATAGTTTATTATTTAGTAATTTTAAGCGTGTAGAATCTTACCTCAACTTTCCCTCAGTCTCATTAAGTTCATCTTAAACTAGTGAGCAGAAATATTAATATACATTTTCAGTGAGCTGTTAAATTTGCTCACTGTCTAAAGATATGAGCTTTTGCATGGCTATCACATCAGTATACTTTGCCTAAGTTGGCTGTCTTTAACGCACTTTAAACAAGGCAAGCTCATTAACATCGTGTGTTAGATAATTCAAAGTGTTCTACATAAAAACTACTACACAGAGTCAGGAAAAAAGTCATGATAAAAGTAAGGAGTGGTTTCCCTTACAAAAATGACCTGTGCTATTCCATGTAGTAAAACATTAAAAGTA